AATACTATAATATAACCTATTCTTAATATGTTTTAATTGGCGCTGAAGTTCATGCTTAACTTTTTTTTCAATGTATTTCTTTTGTCATATATACATTTTGTTCGAACAGTTGCATTAACTGCAAGAATATTGTTTGCTATCGTGTCCCTTTGCTATCGTGTCCTTGAACGCTCGTTACATTCAAGAAGTCCGTTTTAAATTGATAAAATGTCGAAATAATTTTGGTTCTAGAGGTTCAAAACATCATTTATTTTTTCACAGTTGAAATACTTCCTGTCATCATTGGTAAATTGATGTTTTTTTAGATAGAAATGTCCAATAACATTTAACATTAACATTCTGATTTAACTGTTCATTATAATCTATTTAAATAAAAAAGATACATTAACTTAGTTACACAAACCACAAAATAGATTTTAAAAGTGTAGTCATGTGCATTAGGAAGAGAAACTGCATATTTCATTTTCTCATAAGAATACTTATCTGTAAGCATTTTGTTTTGTATCCCGAATAAAGAGATATTTACATTCATATATATGTTTCTAGGCAGAAGTTACCTGGTCGGGTAGACCTTGCTACGACATGAAGAATCACAGGACGATGAGTGATTTGTATTATAAGAATGCTACACAACTAGGCATAGATTTCGACAAATACGGTGTCACACATTGTAGTGATACTGTTCCGACGGGATCTACAGGTATGGGAAATGTGTCGTATGAAACACCTAGTATACATCCAACGTTTTACATTGGGACTGATGCAGTTAATCATACGAAAGAATTCACAGTGGCATCAGGTAATGAAACGTCAAATGTTAAACATAGCATTTACATTAAAGATCAAAGGACTGATATTGCACTTCTTTCTTTCTCGGTCATGAACTCAAATTCATTGAAGAATAAGATCAATTTAAGAATAATGAAAATTGTCATTCAGCTTAAGTTGGTATTATTTTGATATCATTTTGTTAACATTTATCAATTTTAAAATATTTAGGCATACCTATAAGCTTCATAACCTCTGATTTCCTTTCAAAATTCTATTTATTTAGTTTCGCCCATTGTTTTCTTGTTTAGGACACACGCATTTTTGTACTTGGAAACCATACGTTGCATTTCATGATATGCCACTGACATGTCTCATTGAAAGTTCAATGATAACCACCGTATGAACACACCTTTAGATGTTTTATGAAATTCAAATCAAAACGAGTCTGCAGCATTTTCAGTTTTGCTATTTTGTACTTATATAGGTGTTCTTATTTTCTATACTTTAAATTTATAACAGGTAATCATGAGGCACAGAAATATACCATTGCTGTCGCTAAAGCCATTGCTGCCACTGCTATCGACATCTTACAAGATTCAAAACTTCTAGTCCAGATAAAAGAAGAATATCGCAGCGGCAAATCTTAAACTAAAGATTAGAGAACTTATCTTGTTTCATGTTTATATTTAACGGATATTCAAGTTCACATCAGTATATGATTGTAAATATTGGCTATATGCACCTTTCAGGTGTTTAATGCTTAATAAATGTTGTTGTTGTTGTTGTTGTTGGATATTGAAGAATAAGCTCGACATCATTTTGCATTTTTTAAATTAGATAGAAAGAAAAATAATCATTAAATAGATATTTACTTTTGTTATTTCCTATACTTCATCGTCACATTATTTTGGTTTACAAACGCCGACGCCGACGAGAGGGTCACTACAATAACTCCACATTTTCTTCAAAAACAAAAGAAGCTAAAATGATTGAAAAACTACAGACCACAAAAAAGTTGCTAGTTACAAGTAAATACAATTGAAATTCAAACAAACAAAATTATTGAAATAACATTCTTAATTCATCGGTTTTGTTTTAATAAATGTATATAAAGTGTAACTAGTTGTTTCCTTTGTTTGCATTAAGCTTAAAGTTTGTATTTTTTCTGTCGATAAAATTGGTACAAAAAATAATTACCTTCATTTCTTAAAAGGCGTAGACAAGTATAGATATAGAAAATGCACTTTAAAAGTTTTCGTTAACGTCATTGTAAAATTGTTAGCAAATAGTAACAAAGAATTGAATTTAACAAACAAAAAAAGCAGTTGTAAGAAGTCTTCTTTAAAAAAAACGAAACTAGCCCAGATAAAAGCGACAAAGACTTACACAGACGCAGGAACATCTTCGTAGATGAATTTTCTGGATTAGAAAAATGTGAAACACACTCATTTCAAATGGAATGTAAGAATACTCATGTTCAAACATTGTTCGCAACCTGGAATTCTAAGATGAAGTACTAATAATAGCAATGGAACAATGTGCAGGATGGACTGACTCCGAGTCTACAATTGCCATGTAATTTTGTTGCGACCTCAAAATTTCTTTACTGGTGGAAAATGCTTATCATTTTCGCTTCTAGGGTTAAGAATGTTCCTTCCATTTTATAATATAAAGTTATCATAATATTTTTCAAGTTTGAAAGAGGACTGTTGACACTCTTCGCAAGATTTGAAAGAAAAGCCACATTACAGTTCATTCTTAACACTTTTTTTGGCAATTGTATGAGAGAAACCTTCTTTTTGTTTATCGCAAATAATTATGAAAATAATATCCATTACAATTGTATTTAAAGTTATTTTAAGGTATATACCTTTTTACAATACATTTTTCCATAGCAACCTATGTTGCATTTCGCGCATGCGCATTCTGCGTAGAGCAAAAGCGTAGTAAAATTGACAACAGTGTTTGATACTTTAAGGTTTTTATAGTCGTGATTCCATGTAATATTAACCAGAAGACAGTAATGTTTGGATGACTTAGAGCGGTAAGTACTTAAAACGTCAATTGATATTTATAACATATATAATAAATATGCAGGACTAATAATCCAATGGTCAAAAGGCGCATACAAAATACGTCTGTTTAATTAAGGTATCATTAGACGACTTATTCATCCGTAATTTAAATTTAAAGAGCAGGGTGTTAAAGATTAAATTTTATTACCCCTGTGTTACATAATATTACACAATGTGTATTGTACATTTCTTTGGATTGGCCAGGCGGTAAGTGACAAACAGATTGACACGCGACCGTGGTTCTTTGTTTCCAGCTAGATACTGTAGTGTTTTAGAACCATAATTACGTACTATTATGAAAATCGTAATTTAAGTAACTTTTATATATACCGATCTCATCAATGATTATTGATTTGTGAAGTGACAATTAGTGTGACTTTCATTAAAAAAATACTAACATGTGTTACGAGGAACTGGATAAAATGAGTGTTATTTCACTTTCCTTAAAGATTTTGAAAAAACAACTTTTAAAATATATTTATGTGACTAAAAATTATCTGTTGTGCATCACAGTCAGATAAAGGGTGAAATCAGGTAAACTGAACACTAAAAATGCATTATCATCGGGCCTGTTCTGACTATTTTCAGAATGCTAATTAACCTCGATTTTATATGTTTTAATTTTTTTTATCTTTTTTTATGAACTATTACAACAACAATCGAGTTGACTCCCATTTGAATCAAAGATATAATTCCACATTTTCTAGAAAAAAAATCTCAATGTCAGGTCCGTGACCGTGAGCGGGTCCACCGTAAGGGGGAATTCTTAAACAATTTCCTTTTCCATGCCTTTTTATGGCAATCTTGGCAACAAAGCTATAAAGCAATTTTTTCTTTTTTTTGTTTAAAGCTATTTTATATAATTTTCTACCTTTTACCTTAAACTTACTCGGAATTGTCTATGAACTTCTTCTATATTTCTATGTTAGATTATGCTTTTTTTGCCCTACGCAGATTGCGCATGTGCGGGGAAATACTACTTCCGGTCGATTTTTCATAGCAACGGACCGCGTCGTAAAAAGGTCTATAAACAAAACTCATTTATTTATTAAATTAATCTCAAAGATAATACTTCACTTCAAGGATATACTTACAGAATATTAGGAACATTTGGATATTTGTCACCGATGCCGAAATTGAAAATAGTGCCTCTTGTTATTTAACTGGTCTCACATCAAAAAATATTTAAATGTAATTTATTCTTGTTTTGCAATTGTATGAGAGAAACCTTCCGAAAAAAGTATATATTTTTATCGCAAATATGAAAATATTCATTGTTTAAATTACAACTGTATTTAAGGTTACTTTAAGGTTTAAATAGAACACATTTAATTATTTAAATGTAGAGCGTCTAATGTCGCAAAATGTATAACGTATTATCTTTAAATATCAATATAGACGCAAATATGTAGCATTGGAAGCAACTCTTGTTTTTGTGCAACATATTAGAAATAAAGTTACGTCCCTTCAGTTCGATTTACGTGGAAGTGGAGATTACAAATCCAAGAGTTTAATATTTTAAACATCGGCAAGATTTTGATTTGTATGTTTAAACTGTGCTGTTTTCTCGTTTACTGTCATATTTAATAGATATGAAAGGAAACGATGGTTTTGTACTCTCATTTTATACGAAGATTAAATATATTCACAAAGTTTTTTACCGTGTTTACATTCACCCGATACTCTCTCGTATATATGTGTTTAAAAGTTTCATTACGCTGATCACATGCAAGTATATGTGCATTTGTAAACATTGATGTTTACAGATTTTATTTTTTTTATGAATTTATGAACTATACTAAATAACATCGATACCAAGCATGTAAAATATGTTTCATTTGCATATAGCCTAAATTGTATTATTTTTGTACTTGCAAATTATTTTAGAATTGCTCGTTTCTCTATACATTTGAGCGGTTGTTTAGTAGTTATGAGATGTCGTCTGCCTTTCAACACGAGGCCTGTAGTTTGAAGCCCAATTTGTTTCTCGAATGTCACCAGTACAGAGTAATTTTGAGGAATCAAACACGATAGTGTTTAAAAATAGGCTATAAGCTTTCTAAACACTAGACCTTGAACTTTATGTTTAAACCTAAATAAAAAAATTTGTTGTTACAGTCGAATGAATAAAGATATTATTTACCATTACAACATATTAAATTACCAGTGACATGTGTTCTATATATAGAGATAAATCTCGACTTTGTTTACCTAGGCCGAGTAGGATTATAAATTTATGAAAATTGTATTTGGGTGAAATAGGATAATAAATAGATGGACGGTTACTTTTAATTATAACAGTTCTACATATCATTTGCAAGGTATAGTTGTTATTTGATATATTACTTTCATGTATTTCAATGTACATTTCATACTGGTTTGGTTTTTGAAATAAATATCTTTAATGGTAAAATTGATCACGAAATGACGTACTTGTCACCTTAATATACATGTATTTATATGATAGTACTTGTACATATCATCATTAAGTATGAATACTGAAAATTCAGTAAAAATGATAAAATCGAATAATAGTTTAAAATGGCTGTGCATCAAGGTAAAGCACTGATGATCACATAAAACTTTTTGAACACAATACAGTATAATTTACCAACATTTTATTGATCATGGATACTGTTAAGATTACATGAAATATAAATATGACTCATGATATGAAATATACACCAAAATAATCTAAAGAATCATGCAATGTCATAGTCATATAAACATAATTCGGTTTTCTTTAGCAAAACAACAACAACAACAAAAAAAAAGAAGCAAAAACAATATCATGAAGTAAATGTTAAATAGTTATCAAAGGAGCACAGTATCTCGTGCGCACGAGATAAATTATAATACACACATGGACACCCTCTGTGCCACCGTAATATCATGACCAAAATTAAATGTCATCAAATGGTCATTATAGTATAAATCTCGATGAGGTGTTTTTTCTGAATTTCAAAACATATAAGAAGGCTATAAACATCATTATTGATATTTAAACATTAACTAACTATCAACCTGATTTCATTTTAAGTAACTAACCTTTAACTGATTACACAAATCAATGTTCTTATTTTCAGTAGATCAAACGTGAATGTTCATCCATACAGAGTATCTGTATATCCATACAGAGTATCTGTATAAATGCAAGATCACGTAATTACCCTTGTATTGCAGAGTATATCCATAGCAGAGGATGGATCATTTCATTTTTCTATGAAAGGAAGCCTCTATTAACAGTGTATGACAACCAGAAATGATGGACTTAAAACAAAAGGCATACGATGCAATAGACACAATTGTTACAGATTTAGACAAAATCAGTAAAGATATTTGGGAAAACCCGGAGGGAAAATTTCGAGGAGGTAAAAGCACACGCTAATATCACAGCTTTCCTTGAGAAGAAAGGGTTTCAAGTTGAAAGAAACTATATCACAAAGACAGGATTTAGGTATATCGTTTTTGTTTGGTTTCATTTCAATCCCGTTCTGCAAGTATGAATTAATCTCACATGTACTTCATAACAAGCAATGCATTTTGTCATTGATTTTCTTTATTACAGAATAAAAGTTATACACACTCAAAGCTGTAGGCCAACATAAGTAATACATAAAATAATAAATGTTAATCACATTTATCTTTAACATTTCAAAAGTAATCCACGGTTTATTTTAACGTCAGAAACAACGTCACAGTCTTTTGACATCATTTGTTGAAGGACGTAAAGATTTTCTCATGCAGGCGTCCGTATACTACAACATAAAGCTAATAAATGGTCATTTCACACAAAAAACAACATTTTTTATTTCTGAATTAATATTTCAGTTTTAATCATGTTCTGTTAACTTTTTATAATAATCAAATGCTAAAACATGATAATTTCACCTGATTTCATTTATTATACTTACATGTAGATACTTATTCAAGTAAATACACTGAGCGTACAAGTGAATAAGAAGAAACCCAAAAAACTTTACGTTCCACCATTTTATTTCTTTTTTTTCCATTAAACTTTCCTTCTTCGCATGAATAATTAAAAACTAACTATATATCTCAATGTTCTTTGCACGCCGGACCATATATATTTGATTAAAATGTATGGCAGTCTTTTGTAGCAATACATTTTGATTATGTTTTACTATAATCTGTAAACCATTTAACAAATTTGTCAATTTGAATTCATCTTATACATATATAACTTTGAAAATGTATAACTTATTTAGTGAGGGCATAAAGTTAGCATAGTATCATTGTTACAATTAGGTTATAACCTATTTTATTTTGTATTTATAACACAATGGTATTTATACTGAATACTAACATGACATTTAACTATCTAATATTATTATGTAGTTTAACATTTCGTGTTTTTAAAAAAGAAAGCAAGCGCAAAATTGTTATAAGTATTATCAACAGGATTACGAATTGGAAGAATAAAGAGTTTCCTAGGTTAACGAAAAATGACAATTCTTCCTTTTATATCTTGTCCTTGTGTAGATCGACATTTGGCGAGAACTCAGACGGTCCATATATTGTTGTTATATGTGAATACGACGCTCTGCCTCTGATAGGTCATGCTTGCGGACATAACTTGATCGCAGAGGTCGGCTTGGCTTCTGGTATTGGTATTAGAGCTGCTCTAGGAAACAGCGAGAAACCCCTCGGAAAGGTAATTAGATCAACGATACCTTCATAATGATGTACACTTACTTGTAAGAGCAAATATGCTACATGAAATTTAAGAAGACAAAAAAGTTTTGTTGAAGTTGTGTGCGGCTTTCTTTGATTTAAATGAAAATCACATTGACATTTATGATCATATTACGATGAGAATTTAAACGTAGTTTAAAAGAAAAAAATGAAGATCATGATTAAAACTGCGTTTTTTGATTGACATGTTTTGATCGACCCAAAGCATGTTCCATAATTATTATTATATTACATGTATATCTAATTAGCTGTTATAACGTTGCAGTGAAAAATTCAACTTGTGTCTTCTGGAAATACATGTAAACCTTCAGTAATATGATATAAATATTTCAGCTTACTATACTCGGTACACCCGCAGAAGAAGGTGGCGGTGGAAAAATTGATATGATAAAAGCTGGAGTCTTCAAGGACGTTGATATAGCAATGATGGCACATCCATCATCGTTCAATCTTGCAGCAGTTCATTCCCTAGCTATTGAACAGTTCGTTCTTATTTTCCTTTTTTTCGTGCAAAAACTAAAAAGATAAGGCCCTTGTCCGAAATTATAGAATTCAAGGCATTTATAAATTTATTGATATAAAATTCTGGACAAAGTGTGATCTCTCGGAAGCATTACTCGAAACAAAATTGCATGAAAACTGCAGACTTGGTTTGATTGAGTGTGGACAAGACAGATAATGAAATTGTGCAGTGCAACATCCCTGGCACCGACTTGAGCGGTTCTCAATTTTCAACACTTACTCGTAAACGTGTTGGAATTAATGATCGCTCAAATAAGGGAAGTATGGGGCAACATTTTACAGCTGCCACACAACACTGTTGTGTAGTATAAATCCGGAAAAAATGTAATCCCTCGAAAGCATTACTCACAACAAAGTCAAACCTATTAATGAAAAGTTTCTTCTTGAGAAAAAAAAAACTGTATAAAAAAGTAATAAACTGAAAACAATACGATCATAGATAAATCTAATGATATCATTTAAGGAAATAATAACTTTGTTAACTATAAAAGCGATATTGAAATTAACACTGATCGTCTTGTACGTATGATTAAGGAAAAGTATTGAAACAATATTTTTATTTCAGGGTAACTGTCAAGTATCATGGACAATCAGCCCATGCGAGTGCTTTCCCTTGGAACGGTGTCAACGCTCTTGACGCAGCCGTGTTATGTTATCAGAATGTCTCTTGTCAAAGACAGCAGTTTAAACCAACATGGAGAGTTCATGGTTTGTAAAATTATAAACATCCTCTTTTCTGCATAGAAACTTCTGAAGAATGGTTAAATATATTTGTCACATCCATATTTTGTTTGTTTGGTGTCATCCCAAGTATCTAATACAGCTTACAGAGAAAATAATACATCATCTTACAGCTTCAAATTGATAAGGTGTCCTGCCCATCCGCTTTTCCAAATAAGGAGAGCGTCGTATTAGTAATCCAGGGGTCGCCACCTGACTAGATAACCCAACAGTAGTAACGAGTTTCTCTTCAAGCAATCAACTACTATTCCCAAATAATTTCGGAGTAAGTGGTGGGCCAAATGGCCATTACAGTCAAAGACCGAGATCAATGTTCAAGGAAAAAATACATCTTGCCCAAGATCGGGCATGACCATTGTTCTCAAACATTGAGTCGAATGGTTAATTGTCACTCATGATTCAGAAATCATGTAAGATAAAACGTAGTCGGTTAATTGCGGAGAAACTAGCAATTCCTGAATGTATTTGAAAATATAGTTTATGTAGATCGAACGACGAGAAAGCAATAAGAAGTTCTTAAATATTCATATATTAAGATAGTTATAATTTATTTACCAGTCAGCTACATCTACATCGTTAATACTCTTATTTTTCTAAAAAAGTTGATATATTAAAAATGTTAAAGTGAGAGTTTGAAATCTTTTAAGTTTGTTAAGAATTAATTGTTAACGACTCACGCAACGTTAATGACTCATTCATTATGGTCATGTTACACTTTGATAAAAGGTACATATCTTAATCCCAATTTTCTTACTTTCTTTCATCTTGTTAACCGTGCTTATGCTTGATAAATACGGCCTTATTACAGGTGTAATAAAAAATGGTGGATCAAAACCAAACATTATACCCGACCTCACAGAATTAGAGTTTTACGCAAGAACACCCACTAAATCCGAACTCACTGTATTGATGGACAAGTTAGATAAATGTTTCGAGAGTGCAGCAGCGGCTACAGGATGTACAGTTGAGTATCTCGAATATCAAAAACTTTACTCAGCAAAGTTTGTGTTATCGTTTTTATTTATTGCTTTGAAATTGAATTTGCCATTGTCAGTTTGGCGATTTCCCTAAATATATACTGTCTTCTTAACAGCATTTATGTATCGATTAGCTTCAATCCTTTATCTATTTCAATAGGCTGTAGCGCATGCTAAAATGTTCCATGTTATTCCTTTGTCAGCATTTTTCTATGGTTATCATGTAGTACGTTCACAGTTTAATTTCAATTAATTTTTATTTCTATTTCGGTATCAAGTGTCAGTATCAAGTACCAAAGTTAGTAGCTTACACTTTAGACCTTTGTTAGACATTAGATGTTTTGGCAGTGTAATTGATGGTTTACATTTATTTCTAGGCAGAAATTAGCTGGTCGGGTAGACCTTACTACGACATGAAGAATAACAAAACAATGAGTGATTTGTATTATAAGAATGCTACACAACTAGGCATAGACTTCGACAAACACGGTGTCGCACACTTTGATGGAAATGTTCCGACGGGATCTACAGATATGGGAAATGTGTCGTATGAAACGCCGAGTATACATCCCATGTTTTACATTGGGACTGATGCAATTAATCATACGAAAGAATTCACAGTGGCATCAGGTAATGAAACGTCAAATGTGAAACATATTTACATTAAAGATCAAAGGACTGATATTGCACTTCTTTCTTCCCCAGTCATGAACTCAAATTCATTAAAGAATAAGATCAATTTAAGAATTTATGAAAATTGTAATTCAGCTTAAGTTGGTATTATTTTGATATCATTTTGTTAACATTTATCAATTTTAAAATATTTAGGTATACCTATAAGCTTCATAACCTCTGATTTTCTTTCAAAATTCTATTTATTTAGTTTCGCCCATTGTTTTCACGTTTAGGACACACGCACTCTTATACTTAGAAACCATACGTTGCATTTCATGATATGCCTCTGACATGTCTCATTGAAAGTTCAATGATAACCACCGTATGAACACACCTTCAGATGTTTCTAAATGCAAACATTCTGCCTTATCATGTTAAATGAATAATTTTGCTTAAGCCGGTGCTAGGGGGCATGGTCGACAGCTTGTAATTTGCAGTGCCGTTTATAATTAAAATCAATCAAAACGAGACTGCTTTTCAATTTTGATATTTTGGACTTCTATAGGTGTTCTTATTTTCTATACATTAAATTTATTACAGGTAATCAAGAGGCACAGAAATATACCATTGCTGTCGCTAAAGCCATTGCAGTCACTGCTATCGACATCTTACAAGATCCAAAACTGCTAGCCCAAATAAAAGAAGAATATCGCAGCGGCAAATCTTAAACTAAAGATTAGAGAACTTATCTTGTTTTATGTTTACATTTAATAGATATTGAAGAATAATCTCGACATCATTTTGCATTTCTTTTAATTAGATAAAAAGAATAATACGTTCATAAAAAGACATTTACTTTTGTTATTTCCTATACTTAACCGGTCACATTACTTTGGTTTACCAACGCCGACGCCGACGAGAGGGTCACTACAATAGCTCCACTTTTTGTTCGAAAAATGGAGCCAAACTGATTTTACTTAAAAGTGCATTTTCCTTACTTCCACCCTCTTTTAAAATACTTGTTTACGTCTTTTAGGAAATGATAATACTTATTTTTGTACCGATATTATCAAAAGAAAAAACTACAAAGCTAAATACAATTAACGTATGCATGTTTACAAACAAAGTAACCAACGCGTTATAATTTATATAAATTTATTCAACAAAACCGATGAACCAAGAAATGTTATTTCAATAATTCTGTTTGAATTACAATGGTAGTTATTTGTTACTAGCTACTCTTTTGTGTTCTGTAGTTTTTTTTCCCGCGTTTAAAGTTTTCGTCAACGTCATTGTAATATTTTGCAAATAGTAATAAAGAATTGAATTAAACAAGCAAAAAATCAGTTGTAAGAAAGTTTCTTTTAAGCAAAACGAAACAAGCCCAAATTAAAGTGACAAAGACTTACACAGACACGGAAACATCTCCGAGGATGAATTTTCTGGAAAAAATGTGAAACACACTCATTTAAAATAAAATGTAAGAATACTCATGTTCAAACATTTTTCGCAACCTGGAATTTTAAAGATGAAGTACTAACAATAGCAATGGACCAATGTGCAGGCTGGACTGACTCTGAGTCTTCAATAGTCATGTATTTTTTTGCGATCTAAGCTTCCGATGGATAAACCTTCTCCCAGATTTCTTTACTGGTGGTAAAGGCTTATCACTTTCGCTTCAAGGGTAAAAATAATGTTTCTTTTCATTTATCATACATATTTAAAGTAATGATAATATTTTTCAAGTTTGAAAGAGGACTGTTGACACGCTTCGGAACATTTGAAAAAAAAACCCACAAAAACATTACAGTTCATTTTTAACACTATTTCTTCTTTTTTGGCAAATATGTGAGAGAAACCTTCTGAATAAAGTATATATTGTTTATCGCAAATAAGAAAATATCAATTGTTTAAATTACAATTGTATATTAAGTTATTTTAAGGTATAAAATTTTAATAAAACTCATTTAATTATTAAATTAATTTCAAAGATAATAACATTTCAAGGATATACTTACAGAATATTGGGAACATTTGTTTGGATATATGTCACCGGTGCCGAAATTGAAAATAGTGCCTCTTGTCATGATTATTTAACTGGTCCCACATCAAAAGATATTTAAATGTAGAAATATTTAATATCGTAAAATGTATAATCTATAATCTTAAATATCAATTTACGCAAACATGTAGCATTGGAAGCAACTCTTGTTTTTGTGCAACATATAAGAAATCAAGTTACGTCCCTTCAAAAAGTTTGAGAGATAACATCGGTAAGATTTTGATTTGTATGTTTAAACTGTGCTGTTTTCTAGTTTACTGTCATATTTAATAGATAGTATAAATAAAAGGAAACGGTGGTTTTATACTCTCATTTTATACTAAGATTAAATGCAATTCACATAATTTTGTATCGTGTTTACATTTATTCGATACACTCTCATTTATATGTTTTTTTACTGAAGTTTCATTCGCATGCAGGTATATGTGTATACACGTTTTTATTTGTAAACATTGAGGTTTACTGAATTCATTTAATATTTTCATGAACTTATGGAATATACTGTATAACATCGATACTAAGAATGTAAAAGTATATTGTATTTGTATATAGCATAAATTGTATTATTTTTGTACATGCAAATTATTTCAAATTGCTCGTATAAAATGCTATATTATTTCTTTGTCTATAAATTTGAGCGTTGGGTTAGTAGTTGTCGTCTGCCTTTTTCAACCCG